AAAAAAAAAACTCCAACTGATACAACAAAAAATGCAAAAAATGCTTTCCTGCCAGCTAGTTTACATGGTATCTGAGAATTGGCTATAACAAAGATGCATGCACTTTCCCTTTGTTGTAGTTATAATGTTATAAATCTATTAAGCACTTTTTGAGTCATACTATCACTCAAAGCGATTTTATACACTGATACACAGTTATGTACAGTATGTAGCTTGGCATTAATAAATGAATACCCTTCCTACTAAGCCACACCTGCCCAGATATATTAGGGTTGCGTGAAGTAGCACCTTCGGTAATATTATTTGGTAGAATGATCAATTCCAGCTTCTTCTTGATGTTTTACAAAACATATGGTCCACTCAAAAACTGGTGGCTCTCCAACAAAGAATACAAAGTTGAAAATTATTTTATTTTTTTGTCATTGCAATTTTTATATTTCACCACAATTTGTCAGAGTTCTTAGAGTTAAAGATTTGTTTTTTAACAAATAATTCATGGCTTTCCTTGCTATAGATGTTTTGTGACACTGAGGTGGAAATTTCTCAGTCACCCAGAAAGACAAAGTAAAACTAATTTAAGGCAGATGTATGTTGACCTTCAGAAATTAGAAAAAGGCTACAATAAAAAACCTACAAGTTTAAAAGTTATTTTTATTAGATCAGTTTTCACCCTCTTCAATAAAATGAACCTAAAAGGCGAAATTATTGTGAAATGTTTGCACCTATTATTGAAATGCAAATGTTTAGGTACAATATGTGTTTTTCTTTGGTCTTTATTAATGGTCATTTCTTGGTCTTTATTAATCCATAATCCGCCCTTTATTACGGATTACGGATTAATCCGCAATCCGCCCTTTATTTAGTGCTGTAATAAGGTTTGAACTTGATCTAATTAACAAATGCTGGACTTAAAACTGTTAACTGAAAATAACCCTCTTTATCATAGAATCATCAAAGGTAATTTATCAGTAAAACTCATTGATCTCTGGTTATTTGGCTTTTTCGGAAAAAAAAATGTAATTCTTGATAATTTTAGGATTTAAGACCTTTTTTGACTTTGATACAGAAAGGCATTTCTCTTGTCAATTCTCAGTGGGATTTTAGCCATTTGAACTCCTTTCTACATCTTTAAGTCCTCATTCACTGTGTAATACAGATGAAGGACAAATCATAGCGTGCAGAGTTCCAACAAATGAAGTGGCTCTACTCATTTTATTCTCACAAAATGATATTTAGATCAAATTGTTCAGGGACAAGGCAATACTAGGATGGTTTCTTTTTCATTTGAGTGAACTCGCTGCACATTTTTAGCTTCATTTTTCTGTTTGTATTCTTCATGTGAAAGGTGGGAAGGTTTTCCAATGGGAGTTTGTCCATGGCCTGTTGGAGAGTGCCATCTATGGTGGACGAATAGACAATCCGTCTGACCTCCGCATCTTGCGATCGTACCTGGAGCAGTTCTTCTCTGCAAGACTCCTTTCGTCATCCCTCTCTGCTGGACAAAGGGGTAAAGGAGTTGGACGGATTTTTCCATCTCAGATCAGCCTTCCAAACTCCTGCTCCATCTCGGTAAGTTCAAAGGATGACATGGGTGGTAAAAGTACAGAAAAGCTGCAGCCGAATAAATACAGTAAAAACTGAACCAAGGAGTATTTAGACATGGCCAAGACCTCTAGAGGCCGAGACCAAGACCATTTGTGAGATTATGTACGCTACAGGACCTAAAAGGTTGTTGTGTGTGTGTGTGTGTCTGTGTTAATTTCCATTTTCAAAGTCCAATGTTTTTATATAGCATGGTTTAAAAACGACGTATTCCTAAATCCTATTTCCATTATTTGCTATTTTGGCTCAGAAAAACCCAACAGTAGTCATAGGGTATCAAAGTGATCAGTAGGCTTTGATAAACATTGCTTTGCACCATTTGACATGTTCCAACATAGTGACTCTTAAGGATTTCAAACTAATCT